ATTCTCCAGTGAGATTAAGATTCATCAGCCACACTTCTGCTCCCAAACATATCCATATTCCAAACATTTCCATTGCCCTTCAGTGGCTACTCTTCCTCTCACCCTCTAGTCCTACTGTTCTTTCTTCAACTCTGTATCGGGATAGCTTATCTCCATTCTTATTAATTAAATGTGCTCTCTGAGTATTTCATTCCTATGTAGTACATTCTATTTATTCTCACTCCCCCTTCTTATCTTTCTTCCACTTCTATCACACATCTCCATTTTACAGGTCCTCTCCCCTCATTCATACACTATGTCTCTCTGTTTCATTCTGTGATCCACTGATTTTAACCAAGATCATCTATGTGGCTACAGGTTTGGCATTATCTACTGAGCCTGATAGTCTCACTGTTTGGTGCACACCGAAGGTGATGACTTTACCTGCTACAGAATCTATTAGTTGTCAGTAGCCGAGCAGAGTAGGGTAGAGTTTCATAAGCCCCTACTAGATTCAGGAGTATCTACTAACATGTCTGGTATTGTTCCAGCTTGATACACCTGCAGCCTCTGTGAGATCATGACTGCAATGGCTGTGTCATAACCTGAAGATAGCATTTTGCTTTCTCCATATCTTTTAGCTTTTACATTACTTTAGTACCTCTTTACATTTTGCAAGTTGTGGTATAAATGTCCCATTAACAGCTGAGCACTCATCCATCATATAGCCTAACAATCCTGAGGAGCCCCGACTCTCTGAATTCACGGCCATTCACTGCAAAGAGAAGTTTATTACAGGCTAGCAATGATGATGTGGTTCCCCAAGGTGTATTATATCCCTGAAAATAGGGTTTTAACCAAGTTTAGAGTACCAGGCATGCATTTGCTCCTGTGAAGTGGGCCTCAGATCCAGTTTAAAGACTCTTGGTTACTCTGTACCAGTTGGGCAACTATTGCATCAGTGAGCGCCTCGTGCCTGATAAGTTGGCACTGTAGCTCACAGGGTTCACAGCTGGGAGATATACAGTTTCTTATCTCCTATAGCATAGATGACATAGCACTTCCAGGTGCTATGGAAGTTAACCAACAGGAAGGACTTTCTGTTTCATTCCAGCCCAAGGATAGCTTACCTTTCAAACTTCATGCAATAGATCACATACTCAGTTACAAACTTCACCTACACTCTCAGACTGAGTAACCTCCCAAAATAATGTAGACTGTTTCCTTCGTCACAGGCTCAATCTGCAAGTAGTTATATGATAGCCATTTGCCCTACTAGAATGTATCTGCTTTCAAAATTTCGTTGTCAATGCTTGTCAAATAACGTTTGTCTATGACAATCAATGAATATTGTACAAAAGAATAGTCATAGAAAGTTGATGCTTGTTGTCACTTTGTGTTTACATGGTAGATACTCAAAGATGACTATAAAACTATAGTCTCTTATGAGTGCTGACATTTTGTCCAGAGACTTTACATTTTCGATCTTGTATCATCTTCTCCATGACTCCATCAAACTTCAGATGGCATGTGATTCCCCCCACTCCCAGTTTTGTATTTTCCTAAGTTGCCATACCTGGAAATCTTGCAGAGTCAAGACTCTGCAAGGACCACAGAAAGATTTATTTTAGGCATGCACATCTTTCACCATATAAGTAGAAATAATGTATTTTTATTATTATTCCCTGTAGTCACTGTAAGAAGATATAAATGACAGCTACCACGTGGAGGACAAGAAAATCCCGATTTCCCTTCATCTTTTGACATTTTATTTTCTCATCTCCCACAATGCTCTTTTGATTTTCTTCTAATGGCTGCTCCTTTCTTCTCTTCAGTCAAATTTATAATAATTGCATTCAATTTGTGTTCTTTCCATCTTTAAAAATGAGTGCCATTCAATATTGTTTGCTTTCTTGTCTGTTCATTAAAGATTGTCAATATGTACTAATCACATGACAAATGCTGCTGCAACCATTTTATCATTCCACAGTAACCCAGTGGGGAAACCAGTGTTGATATTCATCTAGATTAGATTAATGAGGGGGACCACAGCTCAGAGACGCTACCGTCTTGCAAAGTTGTTTCTAGGTGTTTGAGAAGATCTATCCCTAGTAGATCTTTAGTATGCCCTTGTCTAATCACACATTGAGTCACTTGGACAGATGTGAGGGTAGCTTGGGATTTATTTTGTTTTCTGAACTCCTTTCTTTCAACTCAAACTATGAAGAGAACCTCCCTGAAGGTGATAGACTAGAGGGGTAACTAAGGGAAGGCTTGGATTTGAGGTTTTTTTCTTTGTTTTGTTTTGTTTTGTTTAAGAAAATAAGCTTTCTAGGACTTCATCATTAGGTTACATTGTTTGCTAACTACCTTGAGCATTCTTTGGTTACTGAAACATATTTTTCTATCTTCATTATATTTAGCTTGAATAATAGTCTTCCTATAAGAGCAAAGATAAGGAAGAGAAATCAGCGTTCCTCCTGCCCCACCCCGTGTGTGTGTGTGTGTGTGCCGTGTGTGTGTGTGTGTGTGTGTGTGTTGTGCGTGTGTTCTTTGTGTGGACTTCTGTAAGCATCAGCCTAGCAAAGCACCATGCAGTACCTCTGCACTGTGTTTATGGCGCTATTCCTTACCTGTCTGTAACCTAGAAACTTCCTCAGCCCATGAAAGCAAATAGCTCTTTCTTTCTGGTTTGTCCTCCATCCTAAAGAAGCTATCAAATTCCTTCTGGCAACCATCCCTCCCCCATGGTTCCCTAGCAATCACCTCTCTAAGCTGCCCCAGGACGACTCTCAATTGTCCCGGAGCGGTGGGGGGCGGGGGCATGTAGTATGTGGGTCAGGAGTGAAGCCGAACCTGGTCACAGTGTGTCTTCAGAGGGGAACCTACACCTCCATACCAACTGTGGACCCTATGGGTTCTGGGTTCCTGCTCTCAGCAAAGATCTGCTGGACCACCAGCCGGGTGTGTTCTGTGTGCTTTCCATCTCTCAGGCGCCGCGGGCGCTTGGAGGTCCCCCGCGTGGCAGCAAGGAGCTAGCGGAGGGTGAAGTCCTGGACTTAAGAATTGATACTGTCTAGTCTGAGGGTTAGAGACACTGCTTTAAAAGCGCAATTTGCTTTTCACCCTTCACCTGAATGACCTTGGGCATGTTACTCAGATTCTGTGTGTCAATTTCTAAAACCGTAAAATGGGGACATCATGGTGTCAACTTCGAGCTATTATTGCACTAAGCATGGCTTTCTGTGCATAGTAGGCGCTCTGCGGAAATAATAACTAAGCTCAGTAGTAGATATGAGTTGAGTTTTGGTGTCCAGGACCCAGGGTTGAGCTCTGCCCTTCCACCTATTCACCAAGGAGTGCCACGGGTAGTTGGAGCACCTTCCCTGTTCCCTCCCCCTCTCCAAGATAAGCTAGAGAACACGACTCCGGGGCACCCCAGTGCCGGTGTTCTCTGCACCCTCTTTCCCCCGCCCTGAGCATTTTTTAAATGAACCGAGTTTCAGTCTGGTGTCTGTGGTAATGTGCCTGGGGTCGTAGGGAAAGGGGGCTAAGAAAGGAAAGAGGGGAAGTGGTGGCGTGGAGTTAGGTGGTTTGGGGCTCGGGCGGTCGGTCTAGCGGGCCCCTTCATTGTGCCTGCCTTCTGTGAAACACTGGGCTTGGACGCAGAGGTGCAGTTTCAGCTGGCCAGAGTGGAGCGGCAGGGGTGCAGCTCCGTTGGGCTACAGTAGTGGGCGGCGAGCTCGGGCGGGTGAGGTAAGGAGTGGCGGGTGGAGGGGGACCATGATCGTGCGTGCGCGCGCGCGCGCGCGTGTGTGTGTGTGTGTGTGTGCTGTGCGTGTGCGTCCGCGAGGCGTGGGGGACTGAAGGAGCGCATCCCACCCCGCCACCCGCCCTCGCACTTGGTGCCTCCTGGCCCGCACCTGTGCTGGAGCGCCAGTCACCCTCTGTCCCTCACGCCCCCACCTCCCGTGTCCCTCTCAGTCAAACCTCACCCTGCTCACTTAGAATTTCCCTGTGCAGAGTCAGACCCAAACCCAGAGATGCCTTTGCCTGACTGCTCCCCTCGCCCCCTCCCCCTCCTGCTATAAATAGCCAGGCTAGCGGGTCAGGAACGTCACAACGCCAGAAACCAGGACCCCGAGGTTTTCTTCTTGGCAATAGGGGGCAAAGGGTGAGCAGGAGGAAGAGAAAGAAACCGCTCGTGAGTAGTGAAGAAAAAGCTTGCCCCATTGACTCCCAGGAAAGACTAGCATCTTAGAATTTCTGTATCCTTTCCCTTTCTTCTCACCCCCTTTCTGATTCTTTCATATTCTCAATCCACTCCCCACCCCCTCGCTCAAAATCCAACGTTTGCTCAGCACTCCTCCCATTGGTTTCTCTTTGGCTCCTCGGACTTCGGTTCTCAGTGCTCCCCTCCCGACTGTTAGTGCTCCCACCCCCACCCTCACCACCTCCACTTGTCCCAGGCAGGGGATTGCTATTCTTAAGGAAAAAAAGTTCAACTCCTCGTCCCTTTCAACCTGCTTAGACCTGGAGTGGAATCTCAGGCAACCATCTCCCCCACCCCTTACACCCCACACCTCCTAATCTTTATTCCTCATATTTAAGGACACACACACACACACACACACACACACACACACACATGCACACACACAAACCCCACCACCCGTGAGGTGCAAAACTACCTCCTGCAACAAAAGAAACTTACCAGACTCTCTGGTTGCTTTTGTCTTAAAGAAAAAAGAAAAGATTTTATTCAGGCTGCACTTCTGGAGCAGTTTAATATTATTCAAACATGTACATATTACACACATAAATGTTTTTCTTCCTTTTTTCCCTTTAATTTTTTTTTTTTTTTTTAACAAGGAAATCTCGGTCCCCGGCAGCCGCCGCTGCCCCTTTGATGTTTTGGTACGACGTGCGCATGCGCTCCACATTAGAATTACTGCACTGGGCAGACTAAGTTGGATCTCCTCTCTTCAGTGAATCCCTCAATCCCATCAAAAACTAAAGGGATGTGGAGAGTCCGGAAAAGGGGCTACTTTGGGATTTGGTCGTTCCCCTTAATAATCGCCGCTGTCTGTGCTCAGAGGTAAGTGTCTTTTTCCCTTCTCACTTGGCAGGGCTGTCTGCATACCTCTCCGTGAGCAGGGCTGTTGAAGATGCAGAGCTGTCTTCTTTATTCATTCCAGTTTATTGTCATTTTTTTTTTCTTTAGTGTCAATGACCCTAGCAATATGTCGCTGGTTAAAGAGACGGTGGACAGACTGTTGAAAGGCTATGACATTCGTCTGAGACCCGATTTTGGAGGTAATACGATTGACTTGCAAATAAGAAACAGTCCGGCTCCAAGCGAAGCTGTCTTTTGGGCTTTGTGTGCGCTCTCTTCCCTCTCCTTAGTTAGACCTGCATGTGGTGTGTGGAATGTGTCCCTATTTTACCGTGCTGAGAAGGGATCCAAACTTAAGGCAGTTTGTTAGTGTCCAGCACTTGAGAGGTCTTTCAAAAATGACCCCCCTTAGCGTGTAATCGGACTTGGTAACTGCTTTCCATCTCCTTCGCTGTGGTAAATCTTTGTTCCCAGACTGAGCTTTCCTATGATACAAGCCTTTTAAGTTTACTTAATAGTGTGCCCAGGGCTGTCTCGTAATGTGACTATTTTTGAGGACAGGATGTTCAGGCAGTTGACTGAGAGGTGGCCTCAACTCCCTGTGCCCACCTACTTTGGAAGAGTTCTGGCCATGGTTTAAAGTGACTCATGTCTGGATACTATCCTGTCCTCAAAGGGAAATGACATAGAAGAGATTGGGGTCCGGGGGACGGAGACAAGAGACAGCAGAGGGAAAAGGGCATCACTCTCTGCAGCCCCAGAGACGCTAGTGTGAGAACTGAATTTCACTTCAGATTCTTAATGGGAGTCAAAGAGTTAAAGCCTCCACACAGAAGTGTGTGGGTAAAAATAAAAAGGAGGGGGGTTCAATGCAATCTACACAATTTCCCGGGGCTAAACCCTTCTTCTGCTGCCGTGAGTGTCTGAATTCACATGCGGAGACGTCGACATGTGGACACACAGCTGGAATCCCTGTCCCATAAGGACATGTGTACATATTCCTAGAAGAATGTTCCCCCATTCCTCTGGCCAAGAAGTAGGAGAGTGGTGGACACGAGGATTAACTTTAGACAGGGGTTTTCAGTTCCCAGTGACAACTCTTGTTATGACTGACTAAGTTCTGAGAAGTCACGTGGTTGTCCATCTTGGCTTGCAGGTCCCCCTGTGGCTGTAGGAATGAACATTGATATTGCCAGCATTGATATGGTCTCTGAAGTTAATATGGTGAGTATTAATGTTCACAGCTATGCCTCTGCAATCCTTCATCTGGGGATGGGAGAGGGCTGCCATTGGGGGTGTGTTATGCTTGGATATATGTATAGCATGGGGACCAGGGACACAGTATTTTGCCCTGGAATCCATGGTATATGTAGTCACAGACCAACTTATTCTGGTTCTTTGCACTTTTTCCAATTTGGATCCAACACTGTGTCTCAGCACAGAGTGAGTAAAACACATCACACACTCACTTGTAAAAGGCAGCAATATGCTGGAGGCCCCCTGCAGGATCTATGGTTCTGACAGCTTCTTGGAAGCCCCAACTGACAATCCTGGGTTTGGGGGTAGGTCATGGGAAAAGGAGGATTTGAATATGACAGAAAATTTACCAGGGCGTCCATCTTAAAAACTAACCGAACACAAAGAGACTAAATAATTGCTCCTGGAATATTGCTGCCCACTTGTTGCTTGGAGAAAAACCCTCTTCATACTTAATGACATTCGGCGTCCCCACCCCCACTGCTCACCATCTCTTTTAACCCCTTCTGCTGTCCCAGTGAGATAAAATAAAGTCTGACCACTATGCTTCCAAAAGGCAAGTTTAATAGCAAGTGTACTCTCTTACTGAAGCTGCAATGTTATTCATCATGTGTACCAATTGCAGACAAACTTATTGACAGTCATACTCAGTTCCTCTTTGGGTAAAGAACAAGCACGAAGAAAGAGGGGTGCAGGAAGAATCTGTGTTCTCCAACAGGGAAGCACTTTTGGGGGGGGTTGTTTCATGCAGGAGCGCCCCCTGCTGCCCATGTTGGAGCACTACGGACATGCATGACAAGGACAAGTGTCCCAGATTCCCCCTCTTAACTCAGGGGCATTTCTCCAATGAATCTTTCTCTCTCTCTCTCTCTCTCTCTCTCTCTCTCTCTCTCTCTCTCTCTCTCTCTCTCTCTCTTTCTCCTTCAGTTTTGGAACGTCTGTCTAGATAGGCTGAACCCTAATGTAATATTCCAGTATTCTTTTCAGATCTGCTAGCACACGGTACATTTCAGATTTTTGTATGACATCCTCCTGTCCTCCTGTCTTGAAAGTGGACAAACAATTCAAGAAGGGGATGAAGTGTGTAATCTTTTATACAAACACTTCAAAGCCAGCCACTGGGACATGAAATTTAGGGCATACTAATTAACTCAAAAAGTTTGAGGTATTAGGATTTAACCTGCCTAGCTCCCATCTCAACTTGACAGGAGTTCCCACATTCCCAGAATTCAAAGAGGCAACTCATATGACAATCATAGATGCTGGGCATTAATCATCTGAAGATTCTGACTATTTTACAGAAGCTAAAGGGGATAATCAATTAATTCAGCAGTGGTTTAATAACATAAATCACATTGTAATCGTTGTTTTTATTGTATGGTACCCAAACACAGAAGAAAGACAATGTTACATGACTAGGAAACACACAACAGGAGATTCTCCTACATGGATAGAGAATGTCTTTCTTAAATTTATTTCCCAGATTTTCAAATATTTGCTTTTGTGGGATTTGCAAAGTCCTCCATTAGTTTACATATTTGAAATCAACAAAAAAAAAAAAAAAAAAAGGAAATGTCCTAATCTGGGTACCTCCATGGTCTTTGACTCTAAACTGAACTGTTAACTGCTATCGTGAAAGTTATATAGAAATTAAGTAAGGGTTTGTGTTTTCTAAGTGTGGTTGCATCAGAATCATCACATCTACCTTTATTTTGATTTATGTTCCTTTTCTCCAATAAAATATTATTTTAGCAACTGCTTCTTTAAGATATCACAAGATGATATTTTATAGAAAAGTAAGAAAAAGCATCTAAGAGATGCAGCAATGCGCATCAGATGACTCCAGGTTACTACAATAGGTTGGGGAAGAACTTGGGTGCATTTTATCCTTACATGGGGTGGAGTGGCAAACTTTTATTTTCTTCGTGAACTTCGTTGCCATTTTCCCCCCTGCATGCACTATTTTGGAGAAATATCAGAGGTGGACACAATGCCAAGACCTGCTAGTCAAAATATAGATCCAGCTGAGGCAGGGTGTCATCACTTTGAGCTATTTACTGTTGCAGAGAAGTCATGGGATGTTGAAAGTGCAAAAATAAATGTCAGCTTGTAAATGGGACAACATTGTAGCATTAATGATTTGAAGCAAGTGTGAAAAATTCCAAACCAGATTCCTTTCTTAGCTCAACGCTGACACTCATGGATCTGTCCAGCTACACTTTGAGCTGTGCAAAAACTTTTATTTATTTCAGCTACCTAAAACTAATTCTCCAAAGAACATTTTTGTAACATATGTAGCTATTATCTTGTTTCTAATTAAGGTTATTATCTTGGAAGCAACAGATGAATTTGACCCCATTGGTAGCTCAATACAAATGCTCATTTCAAACTGTATAAAGGCCGACAAGGGTTAGGATGTTTCAGGTATATTTAGTATCTAAAGAATCATTTATTGAAATGAAATCTCCACGTTGATTAATACACACACTTCTTCCTCAGTATGGCTTGTGAAATAGTCTCTAGTAGCTGTAACTTTCATTGCGGTGTATCTGCCTTCGAAGAATGAGATTCCCTAAGCCTTTCACTCATTTGAGCTAAAGGATTAAAGGTCTGTGTTGATGTGATTTCTTTGTTTTGTTTTATTTTGTTTGTTTGGCAGATAACAATGGTAGAAAGATCCTGATCTGGATCAAAGGTGTGAGATACCAACTCCATTCCTTAGTCACCCTGAGTTTATTCACAGTCCAAAAGGTCTTGATTTCCTTAAGTGTCGAAGAAGAGAAATAATTCCCTTTCTGCTATCCCGATATCTACCATCCCAGATAACTACCAGATTTAGGAAAATGGCGTTGTGTGCACTTAATAATGAGCGAACACCAGGAAAGCATTCAAGATACCCAGTACCCACTCGGTTGTTCCCCCGTGTACCTGTGCAATGGTCATGCGTTTCACTAGGGTGTAGTTTCGTCCCGGCTGATGAAAAGGGCATGTTTAATTGACTTCCATCTCCAAGATACATATGTCTCTAGTTACGCTTGTTTGTTATGGTAATTGTTGAATACACAAAAGTTTCAGGAAAACTTTGAAATGAAGAAAAACATGGAGGAAGTCTAAAATTTCTAAACAGTGTCTAACTTTGAGTTGCTAGGACAGTGGTGACAGTTGGCAGGTTCTTTATTCTGGTGACCATTACCCAGTGGAAGATCTTCGGAAACCATGATCTCAGTCAGAATGCTGCTAGGCAGGAAGCTTGGCTCTGGAATGAAATATTTTTAGATGTCTTGGTTAAATTGGCAGGAATCTTTTTGTTAAGATTCTTTGATGAAAAGTGCATTTTACGATTCAAATTTGGCTCTGAGAATTATGGACCAAAATAGCTTTTTTCTTCATTTGAGGCAGATTCTTCAATTTGAAATGGCACATTTGCCAACCAACTGAAGCAATATTTCACTTTTCAGGAAAGAGTTCTAGTAAACACATTCACAAAATTACCTTTTTATGGAATGGCAAATGAAGAGAAGTAATGCCTTAAAAATATACAGATGTTTCTTGTATCGCCAGCTGCACAGCTTAAAATTCCATTCAAAAAATAGTTATTTAGCAGCTACTATAAGCAAGAAAAGTGTAAGGCCTTATGGACAGAGGAACAAAGATCACCCCACCCCTGACCTCATGTAACTTTGTATTTGAATGTGCATTGCTCTTTAACTCTGCCTCAGGTTCTTACATTTGATTAGCCCAAGTCTTATCCTTTCTTTCAGGTCTTTGTTTAACAGGCAAGCAGGTGCCTAGAGTTCTCTCTCTTCCATGAGGCTTTTTGTCACTTCTTAATTTTAATGCTCATTTGGTATTTGGTATGTCAAGTTGGCTTATTTACTACATACTTCACCTGTCCACTTCTATCATGCTGATGAATCACATCAAAACACATGATATTGTCTCTGTCAGTATGTGAAGTTTCCAGCACTGAATGAAGAATCTGTTATCATGGCACAAATTTGTTATTATTGCCTTTCCTACAGCCTATAAAGTACCTGTGGAGAAATAGAGCATAGAATCATAGTGCTTGATTTGAAGACATGCTCCATTAAAAAAAAAAAAAAAAAAAAACAGCGTACAGTAAATCCCAATGTCAAGTTGTAAGTACTTTGAAGGAGGACAGAACACTGTAGAAATATAGAATTATGATGCGTTACATAGAGGTCAAAATGGAGGTTAGAGGTCTGTGGATAGATGTTCCAAGCAGAAAGTAAAACTAGAAAGGCACTAATAGAAGAGAATATGACAAAGGAGAAAGAAATGGTATCAGGGATTTTTCTGGTAACTTTTAAAAGCTGGTGTGATCCTGGGGACATGGTGAAGGGTTGGTAACATAGTGATAGACAATGGTCAGATTATACATAGTATGCCTGTATGCACATGTGTGTGTGTGCATGTGTCTCTGTCTGTCTCTCTGTCTGACTGTCTTACTCAAAAGCTGCTATTTTTTTCAAAGACAATAAGGACTCATGGAAAAGTCTTAACAGAATAACATAGTCTGACTCAAACCTGTAGAAGGTTGTTGCAAAATATAGGAGGTGAAAAGATGTGAAGAAAGGGCTAAGGTCTAAACAAGATATGAAAACTGACTACAAAGGCTAGGAATCATTGGTGAGTTAAGACATGAGCATAACGGAGGAGGTATAAAAGCCATTCACTTACAGATCAGAAGTGGTAGGATTTAGATGAATCCCAAGATTTTGCCTGTCTTTTTTATTGCCATAAAGACCATCAGAAAGGCAGTTCAGGCTAGAAGGATGAAGTATTAGCTGATGGTGTGTGCTCTGAGTGAGCAATGCTGAGTTTTCTATATGTGCATGCAGCGTTCAAATGGTGGTAACTGGTAGGTGTTTGAAAAAATGGGAGCCTATAACCGAGAGAGAAGAGCAGTTGAGGATGGACTGGAACACTGTGGCAGGTAAGTGTGT